CCTGGCACAAAGTGGACACTTAGAAACAGAATTTGAATGAATGAATGCACAAGGTCTCTAAGCAGGCAGGAGGGTCTTGGATGAAAGGCCCTGATGGAGGGATGCACCCTGCAATGATGGAGGAAAGGAGTGAAGAACAGAGGGGCTCAGCCAACTGTGGTCACGGTGGGGAGAAGGGAACTGATGTCAGGTGACCTTGTGAGGGGCGGGATGATTCACAAGCCTGCCAGGCAACAACCCAGCTGCAGACTATTAATCCGCAACTGAATCAAATGGCCACTTGCAGGAACTTTCCTGTTTGCATGGAGAGCTCAGGAAGGGGTGCTGATGTCCTCTACAAGGAACTTGGGACAAGCCTGGCAGGTTCTGAAGCAGAAGAGGGGAAGCCATCTAGGTGCATCACACAGAACCGAAATGACAAACCCTGGGGCCAGGCTGGGGAGGGGGGAAAGTGAGTCAAGGAGGGGCAGGTGGGTTGTGAGGACACAGGCAGGTAGAGGAACTGGAGGTCACAGTGAAGGTAGACTGAGCAGGAGATGGGCTTCTGGAAAGAGGTGGGATGGAAGGCTGTGGGTGAGAAGGGGCAGCAGTACACAGAACCCAAGAAGACTGATTCAGTTCAGCTCCCTCACCTCCAACCTGTGGGGCCTAAGGCAAGCACCTTCACCTGGCTGACCCTCACTTCCTGGACTCTCAAATGCACCTGGGTAAGACTCCTCTCACATAGGGGCTTTTAGAATGATTTCCCATTTAAAACCCCTATCTGACATTGCTAAACAAAGTACTTTCCAAAATTCCATTTTATATAAAAATGTTCAAACACACAGAAAAGTGGAGTCTTAATGTGAGCACTCATATGTGTGCCCACCACCCAGATTCTATAATTTATATTTTATTGTTCTCATATCATATCCATCTTATTTTTCATGCATTTCAAAATAAGTGCACAGTACACTTCGCCCTAAACACTTCCTTAACTAGTTCATTTGTTACAGTTCTTTTTTTAAAAAATAACATTTACATACAATGGAACGCACAAATCCTAAGTGTGCCTTCACTGGGTTTTGACAGTCTGCAAACAGGGTTCTGGGCTTGAGTCTGAGTAGTAAGTGAGATAATATGCCTGTGAGAGCTCATCAGCAGTGGAAGGTGTTAAAATATGAGAGGCAAGACAGTCCCCAAGGCAGAGGACGGGGTGACCCAGAGCTGTGAGAGGCAGAAGGCGGGGAGACCTGAACAGCTAGCAGGAGGCCAGCATGGAGGAGGATGTGAACTTACAGGGGAGGGAGCCAGGCACTGTTGCAGGGAAGAGGAAAATCATCAAGGAAAGGGGGAGGTTATGCTGGAGGTCAGCAGGAAGCGGGAGGTGTGGGTAAGGCTGTAGTCATGAAAATACCCATAATAATAGCAGATGCTTACTTAGAACTTACCATGTGTGCGAGGCCAAGTGACCCCTCACCACAACCCTGGAGGTAAGTACCAGCATTATCCCCAAGTTTGTGACTTGTCTTAGATCGAATAGTTAGGAAGTGCCAAGCTAGGATTCTAGCCCAGGACAGCAAAGCCTCCTTGCCCTGTACACACACACACA